TAAAATCCATTTAACTACTTTTGACCATCGTTATAAATAAAATTATCTAACCTTACACATGAAATTAAAATTTCCATTTGATTAGAGTAATAGATTATATCTTCATTTTTCAAATCAATTTTGTAATGTAAAAGTGTCTTAATATTAATTTTAGCATTAATTCTTTCCTAAATCATGTTATTTCCTAGTGCAATAGAGTCTAATTCCATACCATATTTTAGTACCTATCTAATATTGGAAAGGGTTTTGGTTTGAGACACCTTAACTATAATTTTCTTTTTGGAGACAGGGTTCCACTTTGTTGCACTAGGCTGGAATGCAATAGTATGATCATAGCTCACTGCTGCTTCAAACCACTGGGCTCAAACAATCCTCCCACCTAGGTCTCCTGAGTAGCTGGGACTACAGGCATGCACCACTACACCTGGCTAACATTTTTTGTAGAGACTGGGTCTCACTATGTTGCCCAGGCTGGTCTTGAACTCCTGACCTCAAGTGATCCTCAGCCTCCTGGGATTACAGGTGTGAGCTAACATGCCTGGCCTAGAAGATGTCTGTGTAACACAAATCAGAAGTATAATATATAATGTGAAATTGATGATGTATAAAATCGTGCATAACAAAAAGCCTCCCTCCTCAATCCCCAAAGTAACCAGCTTTTCCCCCCAATTTTTTGTGTAATCCATGCAGACATGTAATGATATGATACCTGTGTGTATCTCTTAACCTTATGTCTTTTTTTTTTTTTTTTTTGAGACAGTCTTACTCTGTTGCCTGGGCTAGAGTGCCATGGCATCAGCCTAGCTCACAGCAACCTCAAACTCCTGGGCTTAAGCGATCCTCCCTCATCCTCCCTAGTAGCTGGGACTACAGGCACACGCAACCATGCCTGCCTAATTTTTTCTATATATTTTTAGTTGTCCAGCTAATTTCTTTGTATATTTAGTAGATACAGGTCTCACTCTTGCTCAGGCTGATCATTTCTCTTGAGCTCAAACGATCCACCCACCTCGGGCCTCCCAGAGTGCTAGGATTACAGGCATGAGCCACCGCACCCAGCCTCTTTAACCTTATGTCTTAAAGATTTTTCTATATCAGCAGATCATAGAGCTGCTTTAGTATTTCAGTCTATGGATACAAGTTGTTCATGCCATTATTTAACCATGTCCATACACTCTGGTTCTTTTTAATATTTTGGATCAAGATAATTCTTTTTTTCTTTTTTTTATTTCGGCATATTATGGGGGTACAGATTTTAAGGTTTCAATAAATGCCCATTTCCCCCCCTCCCCCCAAAAGTCTGAGTCTCCATCATGACCATCCCCCACATGGTGCACATCTCACTCGATAATTCTTGATCTATGTATCTTATGCCTCAGAAGATTAAAATATGTATCAGTTATGTATTCCTACATATTATAATACCTCAAAATTTAGCATCTTTAAACAAACATCTCAGTTTCTGAGCCTTAGAAATCTAGGAGTAATTTAACTGGGTTATATAGTCTCATATGGTTGCAGTCAAGCTGCCCCCAGGGCTACAGTCATCTGAAGCCTGAATTGGGCCTTCCCACAAGGCTCATTTACACAACTGTTGGCAGGAGATCTCATTTTGATGTCACATGTGCCCCTCCACAGGGCTTCTCACTATACGGCAGTTAACTTCCCCCAGAGCAAGCAATACCAGAGAGAGCAAGGTAGAAGCCAAAGGTGTTTTTTGTAACTTAGCCTCAGAAGTGTCATATCATCAATTCTGTATTTTATAAATCACACAGACCAAAGCTGATAGAATGTGGGAGGTCCTTTCTTCATTCTTGATATTGTAAGTTTTCTTATGATATTTTTTAACACTTTAAAAAATATGCCATTGGCCAGGCAAGGTAATCCTAGCACTCTGGGAGGCTGAGGTGGGAGGATCACTTGAGCACTCTAACTTGGGGACTGAGGGAGACTCAAAAGAAAAAGTGACTTGCCTCTGGCCTCCATGTTTTCTGAAGTGAAATTCGTAGTCATTTAAATTATTCCTGTGAAGTTCATTACATTATGCATTATTTTTTCTCTGGCTGCTTTTAAGATTTTTTTCTCTTTAGTTTTTAGCAATTAGGTTTTGGTATGTCTGGATGTGGATTTCTTTGGGGTTTTCTGTTTTCCGGGTTGCTGAGCTTAAATCTGTAGGTTTATGTCTTTCACTAGAGTTAGCAGGTCTGTAAGCCCTTATGTCTTAAATTTTTTTTCAGCACATTCTTGTTACCTTTTAACTCTTTGTTTTCCCTTTTGCTGAAACTTTTTTTTTTAATTTTCATTTTGTTCCTCTTTTTATCTTCTCTTTGCTGTCATTTGGGTATTGGCATCTGTTGGTTATTTTTTCCATGTCAATCCAGATTTTTCTGGTTCTTTGTATACTGTGTAATTTTGGATTACAGTCTAGACATTTGACTATTATGACATTCTGCGTCTTGTTTAACTCATACGGAGAACACTGATATTTTTAATAGGCAATTAATCTGGTTAGGTTCATGCCACATGTTCCAACCCTCTGTGGGCTGTGGTTTTAATGTCAGTACAGTTTCCAAAGTCTCTGTCTTTGTGTAATTTGTAATCTGTCCTTTGTGTACATCACTTTGCAGATAGTATGGAACGTGGGCAGTGATCTATCTGCTAGTTCAATTCTCAATGTCTTTGGTATGCTGATTAAGATCAGATGGGGTCATTTTCCCTGAGGTCCTCACTCTCTATAGTCTCCAGAGTACTTTCTCTTCCCTGAGACTCCTCTTTTAAGTTCTCTGAGCAAAAAGCTGGGGCTTCAAGTACCTCATAGTTCCATCACTGTACCTGCCTTCAGTTAAACAGCTTAATATAATATCTTTGTGTCTTGGTCCTCATCTATAAAGTGCAAGTAACACTATAATGACTGGTATATAGAGCTCAATGAATATTACCTAATATTATTTTTATTAAATACTTAGCTTATCAAAACTGTTACTACAGATTTCAGTTTTCCCAGAATTTAAGATCGTTACAAAAAGGTCACCAGGATGGCTGACTACTAGAAAGAAGAGCTTTATTGGCGATAACAGTTTGCAAACCAGGAAGAGAGAGAGTTTCTGGCATGGACTGAAGGTGGTTTCTCTTCAAAGAGAAAGGGCAGGTTGGTTTTTATGCTACATGGGATCTGTATTATTCAGCAGGTTTTGGGGAAAAGCTATCCACATTTATGCGGGGGTTGAGGGCATGCGCAATGGGTAAACATATATGGAACATACATCCCATGTTCACTTTGGGGTGGAGTTTTAACATTAAAATGAGGTGGAATTTGGCTCCTTATGTCAAAAGGTGACCTACAGAACTCAAAGACAGTTTGTGCAGTTTTCTATAAGCTGGCTGAAACTGGCTTGAGGTCTGCAGTTACTTATCAAGAAAGAATGTGGAAACAACCGAAGAGCCCATTAATACATGAGCGAATTAATAAAATGTGGTATATGTATACCATGGAGTTCTACTCAGCCACAAAAAATATTGGTGATCTAGCACCTCTTGTATTATTTTGGGTAGCGCTAGAGCCCATTCTACTAAGTAAAGTATCACAAGAATGGAAAAACAAGCACCACATATACTCAACATCAAATTGATATTAACTAATCAACACTTATGTGCACATATAACAGTAACTTTCATTGGGTGTCAGGCAGGTGGGAGGGGGGAAGCAGGGGATGGGTGTATTCACACCTAAGGGGTACAGTGCGCACCATCTGGTGCTTGAAGCTCTGACTCAGGTGGGGCAAAGGCAATATATGTAACCTAAACATTTATACCCCCATAATAATGCTGAAATAAAAAAATAGCCATGGGGGGGGGAAATCTACAGGAAAAAAGAATGTTTGTAAGAATGTCTGTCCAATCAGAGTTGTAGTGGTCTGCCTTATAAATCAGAATTAAGAAGAGTCTGCCAAATTGCCTGATAGCTCCTGTTGTTAGGGAGTTGAACAAGAGTGTGGTTTTTCTTGTAGCCATAGGAATTTAGGAAGCTGCCTTGCTAGCTGAGCCCTGAAGCCTTAGGCAACTCTTGTTTCCCTAACTTTAGAGTCCATCTTAGTTGATAAAGGGGCATCTATTTTGGTCTCTAAGATCACAAGGCAGTTTTTATCCAAGGTTATATATATGGTGAATTCAAATTATGCCCTTCGTATCATTTAAACATTGATGAAACTAATTTTTGGTCTTTGTCAATAGTTTTACATTCTTGTATCTTTAATTATAAATCCAAGCTCAAGATTCCAGGATAAATAGTGGGGATTCTAACATGTAATTGTTAGTGAATAGAGCATTATGGAAAATAGAAATGAAACAAGTAAATCCCTTAGGGATTTTATTACATTTTAGCTAAAGAGACAATAGAACTATACATTAGTCAGAAAGCAGTTACAAAGTAGCACAAAAGGATCAAAGACAAAAGGTGACCACACTCAATGGGTTGCTTGGAACAGTCTTGGTTTATCCTTTTTTTTTTTTTTTGGTATAATATTAGTAAAGCCTATATCATAAAGGCATCCTGGCAGTCGATAAATTATATGGCCATCTATTAGTTTCAAGAGAATGAAAAACTAAAGGAAAATAATCACCATGTCTTCAGGATGTGTGCTGGACTTGGTCCCTCCTTGAGCGGAGGGACCCAACATAATAACCAACTGCACAGACTTAGAATTTTGAATAGAAATTATGGGAACATGTGCTCGTTTTGGCAGCACGTTTACTAAAATTGGAATGATACAGAGATTAGCATGGCCCCTGTGGAAGGATGACATGCAAATTAAAAGTAAAAAAATAAAAATACAAAATACAAAAAATTAAAAGAAATTATGGGAAAATGCTGTTTTATTTATTTTTAAAAATTTTTAGAGATAGGGTCTTGCTCTGTCACCCAGGCTGGAGTGTAACTGTGTAATCATAGTTCACTGCAGCCTCAAACTTCTGGGCTCAAAGCTATCCTCCTGCCTCAGCCTCTGAGTAACTGGGACTACATGCACATGCCACCATGTGGGGGGGGGGGGCAGGAAAATGCTGTTTTAGAAATCACAGTTATCTAGTAATATTCAGGATGGACAAAAGGCAGGCACTAATTGTAATTAAATAGATGTGAGGTGATACGACCTTGGATCATGTTGGTTTTGCTATTCTACAAATTTTGGAATTCTACTTTTCAGGAGATTACTAAAATGGTAGTGTTCAAAAATTTCAACCTAATGAATACATCAAAGAAAGTCTATATAGTGAGTAATTAATGTATTTTTACCTTACAATTGGAGGATTTTAGAGAAATGTGAAAGGGAAGTTTCTTTTAATCTGTTTTTCCTTTTACTTCACTGAAAATTCAAATCTTCATGTTCACCGTAGTTGTGTGTGAAAGCAGATTTCCCCGCTGCTGAAATCACCTGATTATTATCCAAGTGTTTTTGGTGGGCTGGGTAAGCAAGTCAATGGCTTGTTCAAAGCTAAAAAAAAAAAAAAAATCCTAATCATACCAAAATAAAAACAACAAAGTACACACTGACCTAGAAATTTGATTTGCATTTGGATATCTCCCTGATTGTTCTCTGGGGACTTTTGTTTTTTGTTCTGCAGGGCCATTGGAGAGGCTATCTTAGTCATTAGTAATTTATTATAATGAGCCACGGTACCAACTGGAAGAACAAAGAACTCTAGCTTGAAGTTGTTCTTTTCTACTAAACATGAGTTTCCTAACTGGGATTGCACAGTGTCAAGAACAAAGAGTTCGTTGAAGAGTTTCCTCCTGTCTCAATATTTTGAAGTGACTCATGAGCTGGTAATATGTACTGAGCACCCACAAGTTACTTCCATTTTAAAACATCACCACAAGTTTTATTTTATCTCTATTTGAGGGCTCATAAGAAACTATTACACCATCTTTATAGTAAAAAAAAAAATGGAACACTTAGAACTGGTTGGTAATTCATTGGGAGAATTTTTTTTTTTTTTAAGATAGAGCCTCACTCTGTCTCCTGGGCTAGAGTGTAGTAGTGTCATTATAGCTCACTGCAACCTCAAACTCCTAGGCTCAAGGGATTCTCCTGTCTCAGCCTCTTGACTACAGGTGTGCACCGCCACACCTGGCTAATTTTTCTATTTATTTATTTATTTGTAGAGAACTCCTGGCCTCAAGCATTCCTCTCACTTTGGCCTCCCAGACTGCTAGGATTACAGGTGTGAGCCACTGTACCGGGCCTAAAATTTAAAAAAAAAAATTTTTTTTTTTGAGATAGTCTTGTTCTATCACCCAGGCTGGAGTGCAGTGGCACAATCATAGCTCACTGGAACCTCCAACTTCTGGGCTCAAGAGGTCCTTCTGCCACAGCTTCCTGAGTAGCTGGGATTATAGGCACATGCCACACATCCCGCTAATTTTTAAAAATTTTTATAGAGATACGGTCTCACAATGTTGCCCAGGCTGGTCTTGGACTCCTGGCCTCAAGCAATACTCCTGCTTCAGCCCCTCATAGTGCTGGGATTATACTCATGAGCCACTCTCTGTGCCCAGAACATTTGGAGAAATTTCTAACTGGATCTATGAACTTTAAACTTATTTACTCCTCATAAAAAGCCTGTGAGGCTCATAATTCTTTCTACAATTCACAAAGGATGAAATGAAGGGACAGAAATTTATCCCCACTAAGAAATTTATAACTCTGCTAGTAGTGTTCATCCTATTTATAAAGGGCACCACTCAGTTGATCAAGTCCAGAACACAGGAACTATCCTTGATTCTTTCCCATCATCCCACATTGTCATGTTCTTTCAATTCTCTTTTCCAAACATATTCTGAAATAGACTAATTTTCATTATCTTTATGGCTTCAATTGTAGGTCTAGTTGTAGAGGTTATCTCTCACCTTCTCAATGGAAATAGTCTCCCTCCTTGATGTATAGCTGCTACTGTTGTCCCTTCCTCACAACAGTTTATTTTCTATATAATACAATGATCTTTAAAAAATGTAAATATGCTCATGACACTTCCTAGCTGAAATTCCTCCAGTAGATTCTCACCCTAGAGTAAATTTGAAACTCCTTGTAATGCTATATGAGGCCATATTCCATCTGGTCACTGCTTACCTCTTCTAACTAGTTTGAAATTATTTTCTATTTAATTCACTTTGCTTAAACCATATTGGTTTTCTTGTTTGTTTTTCCTCAAAATTCATTTCCTTTTTTTTTGAGACAACGTCTCACTTTGTTGCCCAGGCTGGAGAACAGTAGCACAGTCATAGCACACTCCAACCTTCAACTCCTGCACTCCAGTGATCCTCTTGCCTCAGCTGAGACTACAGGTGTGCACCACCACCATACCCAGCTAATTTTCAAATTTTTTGTAAAGACAGGGTCTCACCATATTGCTCAAGATGATCTGGATTCCTCGCCTCAAGAGATTCTCCTGCCTAGCCTCCCAAAGTGCTAGGATTACAGGCATGAACCACTTTGCCTGGCCAAAACTCATTCCCTTATTAGGGCCTTTATACTTGTTACCTTTGTTTTTGTTTTTGAGAAGAGGGCTTCTCTCTATGTTGTCCAAGCTGCTCTGGAACTCCTGGGCTCGGGTGATCCCCTGCCTAAACCTCTAGGGTAGCCAGGATTACCTGTGTGTACCACTGCATCTGGCTGTTCCTTTTGTCTGGACTGATTTTTCCCTCTGAGTAGCTTTCTCACTTCATTGAAGTTTTTGTTCAAATATCATTTCGTGAGTGGTCTTCCCTGACCACACTAGAGTAAGGCATTTCCTACCTCTATTTATCTGGTTTCTTTTTCTGCATAGCATTTCACACTACTTGATTTTCTCTGTTTTTGTGTTTATTTTTGTCTTTCCACCAGGAAAGTAAATTCTCTGGTTGAGGACAGGTATATCGATTTGTTGATTTGTTCATTCCTGTATCCCCATCGTTTAGGATGTGTCTAACACTTAATAGGTAGCCAAACATTTGCTGAATGAATGAACTTGTGTACAAGTGTATCCTTTTTGGTTTTTGTTTGCTTGTTTTTTCCATAACTTTTTAGAGAAATCATCAAAGAGTTATGGAACTTAACAATGCACACAAAACAGCTATTTATTTATTTATTTATTTTGAGACAGAGTCTCACTCTGTTGCCTAGGCTAGAGTGAGTGCCATGGTGTCAGCCTAGCTCACAGCAACCTCAAACTCCTGGGCTCAAGTAATCCTGCTGCCTCAGCCTCCCGAGTAGCTGGGACTACAGGCATGTGCCACCATGCCTGGCTAATTTTTTCTATATATATTAGTTGCCCAATTAATTTCTTTCTATTTACAGTAGAGACGGGGTCTGGCTCTTGCTCAGGCTGGTTTGGAACTCCTGACCTTGAGCAATCTGTCCACCTCGGCCTCCCAGAGTGCTAGGATTACAGGCGTGAGCCACGCCTGGCCCAAAACAGCTATTTAAACTGAAAAACCTTATACAAATGCTGGTTATCCCATTTGTATAGATTATTACCTATTGGTCTTCTCTGGACTTCCTCTTTATTAGTTCTCTGGATCCTGGAAAACACAAGGATATTAAGTATTTAATTTAAATAAGTCTGAACTTTCCTTTTTTTTTTTTTTTTTGAGACAGAGTCTCACTTTGTTGCCCAGGCTAGAGTGTGTGCCATGGCATCAGCCTAGCTCACAGCAACCTCAAACTCCTGGGGTCAAGCAATCCTACTGCCTCAGCCTCCCGAATAGCTGGGACTACAGGCATGTGCCACCATGCCTGGCTAATTTTTTGTAAATATATTAGTTGGCCAATTAATTTCTTTGTATTTATAGTAGAGACTGGTCTCGCTCAGGCTGGTTTCGAACTCGTGACCTCGAGCAATCCACCCCCCTCGGTTTCCCAGAGTGCTAGGATAACAGGCGTGAGCCACTGCACCTGGCCTAGTCAGAACTTTTAAATACCAGTTGTGTATTCAGGGCTATTATGTGTTGTGGGAGATTCAATAATGTAAAAGCCTTATCTATTAATGCCTAGGAGGATTTTAACTTTCTAGTTGGGGAAAAATGAGATAAGCACAAGAGAAACACTCAAAAAACTTTTCAAAGACAACAAAGAAGTAAGCCAGTAATAGCAATAAGAGCAGAAAGAATTTTGAATATTAGAAAGTTCCTTCTTTGGAGAGCTTAATGTGTTAAACAAAAATTATAGGAAGGTATTGTTTTGAACCAAACTCCTGCACACTAGTCCCCAACAGACCAGACTAATAATCAAATTATAACCACATACGCTCACCAAACCCTAACTGAGTTGTCATCTGGTCTTCTAAAAACAGGATAGAGAGGGAGAGAGGAGAGAGGAGAGAGGGAGAGGAGAGAGAAGAGAGAGAGAAAAGTGAGGAGAGAGGAAAAGAGAGAGAGAGAGGAGAGTAAGGAGAAAAGAGAGAGAGAGAGGAGAGAGGAGAGGAGTGAGAGAGTCGAGGAGAGAGAGAGAAGAGAGAGGAGAGAGGAGAGAGCCAAATTCCTAAACAGGACAGTTTCAATCTTCAACTGGCATGATCATGAAGTTCACCTTTTGACAAATGAAGGGAGCAAATCTTAAAAGCTCCTTCATGTTGGGAATTTGTGGAGAGGAAATAGACGAACACTTATAATCCCTTATTAACCAGTGTTCAAACATGAGGCTGATAAATGGAACACTTTGCAAATTCTATTTACTGGCAGTGACTGAGTATCTAGAGCAAACGGGTGGTTTCTTGCCTACAGCTATTTCCATATCTCTATCTACTATCTCTGTTTATATTTACATCTATATTTATACTTACCTCCAACCCCTGATTAACTGTGCTATTTCCTGGGAAGTAGTTTTTCTACTACATTTCCCACTCTCCCACTGTGCTAAGACCTTTTTTATTTTTATTGCTGTATTGGCCAATTCCTTACAAACACCATGCCAATTAATAAGCTATACTCTCATGGAACTGTCATTAGCATTAAATTTGATACTACATATTAAGTATTGTATCTGAAGTATATGAAGGATTGTGCTGAACGTTCAATAAATCAATAAATATTCTTCTTATATAAGAAATGTAACTGATGAAATGACAACAGCGAGATCTCCAGCCTCAGAGATACGGGAGATGGAAACTGAGCTAAGGAAGGAGTCAGGCCTGGTCTACAAAACTAGCTCAAATTGACAAGATTAGCGGTCGCGTCCCTTACTCAGATTAACACCTTGGCTAACCACAGGCGCGAGCCAGCCTAGGCTCCCGGAAGGTAAACACATTGCAAAGGGCGGGGCAGAAGGCGGGTTGGGCATGGGTGAGTGGCCAGCTGAAAGTGATTGGCAGCTGCCATGTCCACGTGCTTTGAGCTTCGAACCAGGTGTCGCGAGAATTCGATGTAAACAGACCCGACTCCCCGTCCGGCTCCCAACCTGAGATGCTTGGATGAGGTGGACAGGAATCTGGGGTATGTTGCTTTTTTTTTTGACAAAGCCACGAAGGTGCTGTCTGCAAAGAAAACATACCTGCTCGTAATTCCTACCCACCTGCCTGCGTTCGCAACCGAACCTGACGCGTCGGCTTCAGCCGAACTTACATACTGTTGTGTTGTTCCTTCAGCCCCAGCGGATTGGACAAATTCAGGAGGCGGATCCGCCTCTTTTCTACTTGCTGGTTGGCGAAGCTGACCTCCAAGGGCGGTGCCCAGCCATAGCCAGTTTGTTTCTCGGATTGGCTAGAGGGCTGGTTCCGCTGAGGCGTGGTAGGAAGTGGCAGCCGTCAATCACGCAGGGAGACTCCAAACAGTGAGCCTTGAGCTGGAGAACAGCGTTTACCGGCGGGGCGGCCGGTGAGAGGGCTGGCGGGTCTTTGGCTTTGGGGAGGCTTGGAAAGGACGAGGGGCAGGCAGCGTGACGGGACCGGGTTGGGCTGGCAGGTATTCGACGGGGGAGAGGTGTCGCTACTGGAGGGGGAGGGGAGAAGGGCAAGGGGCCAGAGGGCGGCCAGGGGCAGCGGTGGCTCCTGTTGGAGGTTAAGTGGGTAGCGCTGTGCCGGGTGTCTTTCAGGAGAGTGGGGCCTGAGGTGCCGGCGAGGGTGGTCCTCAGGAGACAAGGCCCTTAAAGGACAGGGCTTGGGAGACTGTGGTTTGAGAACGAAAGGGTGGGATGGAAATGAGAGGGCTGAGGGACTGGAGGTGAAGGTACCCCCTGAGGAAGGGGTAGTTGGGCTAGTTGGGGCAGTAGAATATATTGGTTGTAGGAGGTGGGGCTCACCAGGTTGGGAGTTTTCAAATAAGGTGGTAGAATGCTCCTTCTTTAGAAGTGATTGTTTTAGGTGCTTTCAAGATTAGGTCCAGGTGTGGGCTTTCCTGTCAGAGATCTTTAATATTGTTGTCAGTCCTCTTTTCATCTTAAGCAAGTAGCCTCCATGCTCTTAAAACTTCCTCAGTGATTCAGAGGCTCATTAAACATTCTAGGATCAGGATTTATTGATGTGACAGGACAGGATAAGGGGCTTCTAACATGATATAAGTTTATGTTACTTATTTGACTTATTTGTTACTTATAACTAGGTTACAATAGCAGGGGAGTTAAAAATATGATTTAAATTCTGGCCCTGCAGTCTGACTCATAGATTCCCGGAAGGTTTAGTTGGAAGGTAGAGTGGTATCATGTCACTGTTTCATTGGGTGTTGAAATATTGTACCATGTGTATTTTCACTATCTCAACATAAAATTCCACTAATTTCCTATTCCATGATCTCTTTATGTTAACAGCAGACTAAAAGTCCAACAAGAGCCTTAACTGGTCTTGTGGTTCTGAGGCCTGGTCGTATATATAACAAAACAAAACAAAAACCAAAAACCAGTGCTCACTTTGGCAGTACGCATATATAGTAAAATTGGAATGATCCAGAGATTAGCACAATAAAAATATTTTTAAAATTATAAGAAAAACAAAAAACTTCATTATAATTTGAAAATTTAAACTATCTAGTTCATCCCCCTCTGTTTGCTTTCTGGTTAAAAGGAACTGCTGGGAAGTTTCCTGCATTTTAGGCATTCTTGAAAAGAGATCTCTAGTGAGCAACCATAAACCTTTTTCCCTACCCCTAACAATAATGATCCATTTTTCTATCTTTTTGTTCTGGAAACAGGTTTTATGAATGAAGCTATGGCTACAGATTCCCCTAGAAGACCCAGTCGTTGTACTGGTGGAGTTGTCGTTCGCCCTCAGGCTGTCACGTAAGCACATTTCAGATAAGCCCAATAGCTGAAGAAAAGATTGCTCAGAATAATAACTAACATTCAGGTTTTCTTTTTGGAGCAGTGATTACTTTGTAAACATCTTTTAAATTTTGGCTTTAAAGGATAGTAAATATCATTGCTAAAGCCAAATAAAAGGAAGAATTGCAAGGTTAGGTTGAGGTATTCAGCATATTTATAGTACCTGAATAGTACTATGGTAAATCCTGAAGAGCAGTGGTTTTCAAACTCTAGGTTTAACAAATTAGTGGACCATTAAATCAATTTATTATTTATTTATTTATTTTGAGACAGAGTCTCACTGTGTCACCTGGGCTAGAGTGCCGTGGCATTTGTCTAGCTCACAGAAACCTAAAACTCCAGGGCTTAAGCAATTCTCCTGCCTCAGCCTCCCGAATAGCTGGGACTACATGTGCATGCCACCACACCTGGCTAATTTTTCCTTTTTTAGGAGAGACGGCGTCTCGCTGTTGCTCAGGCTGGTCTCAAACTCCTGAGCTCAAGTGATTCTCCTGCCTTGGCCTTCTAGAGTGCTAGGATTACAGGTGTGAGCCACCATGCCCAGCCCATTAAATCAGTTTAGTGGATCAGGACAATATTTAGAAAAATGAAATAGAATAGAAAATATAGCTGGGAGCTAGTATTGTTTTGTGACATGCTTATAGATACATACATATATGTATTTATTTACTAGATCATGATGTAAAATGTATCTCTTACTCTAGGTTTCAGTCAGAAAGTTTCAAAGTAAGTCATATTACTTTTCTATATTTTAGGCATTCTTTGACAAAGAATGTCTATACTTGGAGTTTATAATCCAACATGGTTTATAGATATATGTACTTGAAATCAGTATAATCAGTAAAAGATAAAAGATGTCAGAAAACAGCATGAGGATTTAGAGGGAGTATTTTAGTGGAGTGATCAGAAAATGTTTCAATAAGAAGGTAGTATTTATAGTGTTTCTTTAAAGGCTGAATAGAATTTGGGCACTTTGAGTCAAGGAGACATTTTAGGCAAGGGAATAGAATCCGTTTCCCAGATGTGGGAAAGGCCAGCTATTTTTATAAATGAAATGTAGTCCTGATATAGGGAAGTTGACCTATTTAAAGTAGATTGGGATGGGCCATTAAGACCCTCTACACCTGGCTAAGGAGTTAAAAACTTGTTTCTGCCCTTTAAAATGTGTTGGGCACAGTGGCTCACGACTGTATTCCCAGTTACTTGGGTGGCTGATGTGGAAGGATTGCATGAGCCCAGCAGTTCAAGGTTGCAGTGAGCTATGATTGCACCACTGCACTGCAGTCTGGGTGACAGATACCCAGTCTCTAAAAATAATAGATGAATAAATTTTAAAAAGGCTCTCAAGGAAATTTTGGATTATTTCCTTTGGGTAGTTTAGCATGTTTCAAAAAGATTGCCTTCTCAGACTAACAAGAGTTCATGTATAATATGAATATGATATTTTACCATAATATGTCCTTTTTCCCTGCTACATTTCTCAGAGCTGTATTTCTTTGCTAACTATGGACCCTGGCAACAAATTAAGCATGTTAATAGCTCTGAGTTAGGTAATGTTTTAATCTCCACTTTACTGGTGAGGAAACCAAATCAGAGATTAAGATATCCTTGGTAATAGCAAAGAAGGGGAGTCAGATCAAACCCAGGTAGTTTGTGCACTTATATGGTATTTTATGCTGTTTCACCATAGGGTATTCAAAATGTATTGCATTTTGTTATGTGATACAATATAATTTTAGTGGGTTTTTTTTTTTTTTTTGAGACAGAGTCTCACCGTGTTGTCAGTCTAGCTCACAGTAACCTCAAACTCCTGGGCTCAAGCGATCCTTCTGCCTCACCCTCCCAGGTATCTGAGACTACAGATATGTACCTCCATGGCCGGCTAATTTTTTCTATTTTTGGTTGAAACGGGGTCTTGTTCTTGCTCAGGCTGGTCTCGAACTCCTGAGCTCAAATGATCTGCTGGCCTTGACCTCCCAGAGTGCTAAGATTACAGGTGTGAGCCACCACGCCCAGCCAATTTTAGTGGATTTAAAAAAATCATTCATTCAGTGTTCTTTTAATAAATAATGCTTCAGGCTGGGCGTGGTGGCTCACGCCTGTAATCCTAGCACTCTGGGAGGCTGAGGCGGGCGGATTGCTCAAGGTCAGGAGTTCGAAACCAGCCTGAGCAAGAGCGAGATCCCGTCTCTACTATACATAGAAGAAGTTAATTGGCTAACTAATATATATAGAAAAAAATTAGCCAGGCATGGTGGCGCATGCCTGTAGTCCCAGCTACCTCGGGAGGCTGAGGCAGCAGGATTGCTTGAGCCCAGGAGTTTGAGGTTGCTGTGAGCTAGGCTGATGCCATGGCACTCACTCTAGCCTGGGCAACAAAATGAGACTCTGTCTCAAAAAAAAAAAAAAAAAAAAAAAAAAAAAATGCTTCAGCATCTACTCCAAGCCTAAGTATTGGCTTTATGGCTTATAGATTCTGGAGATACAAGGTAAATGTGAGAGATAGATTCTTTTGTGTAATGGAGCTTACATTCTAGTGGGAAAAATATTAAATAAGTAAACCAATAAAATAGTTATAGGCTGTGACCTTGCACAGTGTGCTATGATAGAGAATTACAAGGGGGAATCTACATAGTGCTGTCAGAATGTCTCTCTGAGGAGATAACAATTAAGCTGGAGATCTGAAAGGAAGAGAAGAGAATGTATGAGAAGGAATACAGGCAGAAAGAAATGTGTTGTAAACGTGTTGACTCAAAGAAGAGCTTGGTGTATTCCAGGAATTGAAGTTGCATATGGCTGAAGCAGAGTAAGTTAGGAGAGCGGCAAAAAAAAAAAAAGATATTAGAAAGGTAGGCCTAATCTTTCTTTCTAGGCTTTATCAATTTTGTCGGTCTCTAAGGCATATTTTTTTTATAGGATTCATAAGAACTCATAATATTTCTTCTAGTGTAATTTTTCATATCTTGTGAAGTGAATTTGACTTCATATTTTGAAGAAATTGTTTTTCTTGGTTGGGCATAGTGGTTCATGCCTGTAATCTTAGTACTTTGGGAGGCTGAGGTGGGATGATCACTTGAGACCAGGAGTTCAAGACCAGACTGAACAAGAGTGAGTCCCCATCTCTACAAAACTAGAAAAATTAGCCAGGTGTGGTGGTATGCCCTTGTAGTGCCAGGTACTCAGGAGACTGAGGCAGAAAGACCACTTGAGCCCAGGAGTTTGGGGTTGCAGTGAGCTAAGATTGCACCAATACACTCCAGCCTGAGTGACAGTGCAAGACCCTGTCTCCAAAAAAAAAAAAAAAACAAGAAAACTTTTTCTTCATTTGCTTACATACATACATTAGTACTTCCTGTTTAAAATATATGAATTGTGGCCAGGAATAGTGTCTCACACCTGTAATCCTACCACTCTAGGAGGCCAAGGCAGGAAGATTGCTGGAGGTCAGGAGTTTGAGACCAGCAGAGCAAGAGCAAGATTCTGTGTCTACTAAAAATATAAAAATTAGCTGGGTGTGGTGGTGTGTTTCTATAGTGCCAGCTACCTGGGAAGCTGAAGCAAGAGGATGGCTTGAGCTGAGGAGTTTGAGGTTGCTGTGAGCTACTGTTCTCTACCCGGGATGACAGAGGGAGACTCTGTCTTAAAAAATGTGTGTGTGTGTGCGTGTGCGCATATGTATGTATGTATATATACATATATGTGTGTGTGTGTATACATATATATATATATATACAGTGACTGTAACAATGTTATTTTTTCCCTTACTGTTATGCATTTTAATATTTTCCCATGTCTTGTCTATGCCAAAAGTTATGTGAGTTCTAATCCCTGCACCTGCAGCAAAATGCAGATTCATTTGCTACATAGAGATGAAGGAATAGGTTCATAACCAATTTGAACACTAGCTCACTAAATACTGAATCACCAGCAACTGTTTTTCTTGCTGTAACTAGGGCATTCTCTGACTCAAGAGGAAGGTCCTGCCTTAGCCAGGTCCTCCATCTTGTCATCACTCCTTCAAATACAAGTTAGAAATTATCTCTATCAAATTAGGATAGCATAACTTTTTTTTCATTTTCTTATAAACTGATACCATAGTAAGCATGACTTTTAAAAATAGATACTGTTTAAAAGGCTGGGCACAGTGGCTCATGTTTTAATCCCAGCACTTTGGGAGGCTAAGGCAGGAGGATCGTTTGAGCCTAGTAGTTTGAGATTGTAGTGAGCTATGATGACATCACTGCTATCTAGCCTGGACAGTAGAACAAGAACTTGTCTCAAAAAGAAAACAAAAAACCAAGGACACAACAACAAAAAACAGAAAAACAAGATACTGTTAAAAAATGTTAAAAGGTCAGTTATATTTGATAACATATACAAAGACTCATGAAACCAGAAGATGGTTTAGCAGAATTACCAGGTGATAAGAGTTGGCCTTTTTTTGCCCCTCCCTACCAGCCACCTGACCTTTTATTCTTGTTTTAATATTATGAGTGATTTTATTAAGACTTGTAAATTGAGTTTTTTCATGGTCTATATTAAGGTCTCATGATAAATTTTATCTATTTCACCATTTTCCAGAGAGCAGTCTTACATGGAAAGTGTTGTGACTTTTCTACAGGATGTTGTGCCACAGGTAAGTGTCTGTGTGATTTTGGAAATAGTAGGTTTTACCTTTGTCTGGGGAAGCTCTGAAATGTTCTGTTTTCTAAACTTGACACTAGCATCAGCAACTTTAGAAAGGCTTCTGATGTTTTAGCCTCCTGAGCATTGGTAGGGTGAAACTAGACTTCTTACTGTGTAGATGTGCCTCAGTGTTGTGATGACAATGGCATAACTATTACTGCTTAGGGACTTGCTCTCCTGAGAGGAATCAAGGTGTGATGTTAGTAGAGAGTTGAGATTTGGGACTTTTTAGTTAGGTTCTATTTCTGAAATCTTTCTCTTGTCCTACTTAATTGTTGCCTGTCTGAAGTGAGAAAAGCAATGTACACTCTTATGTGCTTTATTTGCTAGATATTAACTAAATATTACACCTGGGCACAAATCTACATTTCTTTTATATTGAGCAGTATTTTTATGCCAACTAGTGTAGTCTTGATACTCTAACTTAAAAGAAATTAAGCTCCTTACTGTTCCCTTTATATAAATGTGAGGCTAAAGAATGAGAACAGCCTTACTGGGATCATCTAGTATACTTTTGCCCAAACTTAAACCTAATTATCACTTGGCACACTTGTTAAAAGTGGTAATAATTTCCTCTCTCAGAGAGTAGAGTCTGACACATTGGATTTGAGGTTGTGTCCAATAACTTTTGTCTATAATAAGAATCTCAGTTACTGTGCCAAGGTACAGAAAAAAAGAATCTCAGATAATTCTTATGAAACAGTAGCTTTGGGAAACACTGTTCTACTGAAACTACTTAAGAAAAAGTTTTCTGTATTTTCTTCTTATGGTTATCCCTGCACTTTGGGAGATTGAGGCAGGAGGATCTCTTGAGCCAAGGAGGTCAAGGTTGCAGTAAGCTGTTATGATCTCACCAATGCACCACTGGCCTCCAGCCTGGGTGACAGAGTGAGACCTTATCTCTAAAAAAAAAAAAAAACAAAAAACAAAATCCCAAACCAGATAAGGTATAAAAGGAGAAGTAAATAAATCTTGTCAGTATGGGATGAATGTTTTGACTCTAAATAAAAGAACTAAAACAGTTGCTCTTGTTTGAAGAAGAAAGGCGTATAGTCAGTCCTGGAGGGCCAGGCAGGGTGGCTCATGCCTGTAATCCTAGTACTCTGGGAGGTTGAAGTGGGAGCGTCACTTGAACTCAGGAGTTTTGCTCAGCCTGAGCAAGAGCAAAACCCCATCTCTACTAAATATAGAATTAGCTGGGTGTGGTGGCAAGCACCTATAATCCCAGGTACTTGGAAGGCTGAGGCAGGAGAATTACTCGAGCCCAGGAGTTTGAGGTTGCTGTGAGCTAGGCTGAGGCCATGGCACTCTAGCCCAGGTGACAGCGAGATTCTGTCTCAAAACAAACAAAAAAATCAGTCCTGGGGAAAAAAAAAGAAAAAATTTTGTGTGGTAGTACTCTGACCTCCATAAAGACCTCAAATGAAAGCTGGGATGGGCACTGGGTGAGTTTGTATCTCACTGAGAATAAAATATCTCAGCTTGGGCAAAGGAGATCATAAGCTGAGAGGCAGAATAATGCGACATGTCTTATTTGTGCAAACCTGCAGGAAGGCGCACCAAAAGCAGTACTCAGGTACTTTAGTCAACTTCACAGAATTTTCTCAAAAATGCTTAATAAAAGAGAATACCACATCTGCTAAGGAGAGAGGAAAACTCACTGAAAGGTCTCTTTTGGCCTTCTTTTGTTCTGTGTATTACCCAGAAATCAAAGGAGAGCATATTGAAGATGTTGCAAAGTAGTTGGGAGAATGTTGAATAATGTTGCAGATGATAAGTAGTCTTACAATAAGTCTGCTAAGCTGAAGAAAAATTTGAAAATGTTACTGTTTTACCAGGGTAAAGGAAAGCCTGACAGAAAAAAATTGTCTTTAAGTGCAATCGTAGATTGGATCCTGGAGCAGAGAAAGGACATTAGTGGAAAAACTTGTGAAATCCACATAAAGTCTGGGGTTTAGTTAACAGTAAGGCATGATGTTAGTTTTGTAGTTTTGACAAATGTACCATAATAATGTAAAATTTGGTTAGAGTAGATAATTAACATTAGGGGAAACTGGGTGAGGAGTATAATGAGAACTTTCTGTACTATGTTAAATAATCTAAAATTATCATGAAAGAAAAGAGTTTTTTTTTTTTTTTTTTTTTTTTTTGAGACAGAGTCTTGCTCTGTTGCTAACACAGAGCAAGACTCTGGGCTAGAGTGCTGTGGCATCAGCCTAGCTCACAGCAACCTGAAACTCTTGGGCTTAAGCAATCCTTCTGCCTCAGTATCCCGAGTAGCTGGGATACAGGCATGCACCATCATGCCCAGCTAATTTTTTCCATATATATTTTTAGTTGTCTACCTAATTTCTTTCTATTTTTAGTACAGACAGGGTCTTGCTCTTGCTCAGGCTGATCTCGAACTTCTGAGCTCAAGTGGTCCTCCTGCCTGGGCCTCCCAGAGTGCTAGGATTACAGGCGTGAGCCACTGTACCTGGTCTGAAAGAGTTTATTTTTAATAAAGGGAATTTTAGGGGAGCCACGTGCAGTGGTTCATGCCTGTAATTCTGGTGCTTTGGGAGGGCAGGGCAGAAGGATCATTCGAGGCAGGAGTTCAAGACTAGCCAGGGCAACATAGTGCCCCCATCTCTACAAAAAATAAAAAATAGGTTAAAAAAAGGATTTTTTTTTTTAAGGATGAAAAGAGAAAGACTGAGGAAGAAAATAAGGATGAAGTGTCTGAAGATAAAGTTTAGAAATTAGTTTGTCCTGGTGCAGTGCAGGTTTTCCTCTTCTCCAAAGAAATTAATTGCCCTATACGCATCTTGTTTCTTTAAAAAAGATAATTTAAATCATATGTAAGGTGATTTTTAAACATTTCTTTTTCTCTTTTTTTTTATTTTTCCATACTTACTCATGCTTTATGGTTATTTCTTTTTTTTTTTTTATAGTAAACCTAGTGTTAAGATAAGCTTGTCTTAGCTGGGTGCCGTGGCTCACACCTGAAATCCTAGCACTCTGGGAGGCCAAGGCAGGAAGATTGTTTGAGCTCAGGAATTTGAGACCAGCCTAAGCAAGAGTGAGACCCCCTCTCTACTAAAAATACAAAGAAATTAGTTGGACAACTGAAAATATATAGAAAAAATTAGCTGGGCATGATGGCGCATGCCTATAGTCCTAGCTGCTCGGGAGGCTGAGGCGGGAGGATTGCTTGATCCCGGGAGTCTGATCCCGGTTGCTGTGAGCTAGGCTGATGCCACAGCACTCCAGCCCAGGTAACAGAGCAAGACTCTGTCTCAAAACAAAAAAGATAACCGTGTCTTAGTAGTATTTTCAATAGCCATTAACTTTGTGTGACACAGTATGGGTAAATTGACAAGGAAATCTGTAGCTGATTGTGTATAACAAAGTATGTATGAAATGATTGATTTTGTATCATTTTGATACAGCTTGTATTAAATAATGGTTCTGTAAACTGAATACAACTTTATAATTCCAAAAAGAAAGTTGCAGCTGCTTTGTTAATAGTCTAAATACTTCTAAGTATATACAATCTTTTAAAAATTTTAAATAAAAATGTCCTTTATGGAGAGATGCCTCCTTTTGAATACTCTTGACAGTTCATGCTTATCTTTGTGACCCTTGTAGGCTTCCAGGAATTAGCTGATAGGTTTGGTCTGGAAGCCAGATAAGAAACTGAAAAAGTGCAGTCATACACTTGGAAAAGTGTAGGTAGAGTGTAACTGCCTGTTGTCAAACACCTGGGAGCTTGATAGATGAAGATGGTGGTTTTGTTTATTTTTTAGGCTGCCTTATTTGTTAACCAATATAGAGGGTTGGTTTAGTTTTTTGTGTTCTTTGAATTAGAGTGATGCTTCATAATAGATTGTGATCATTGTATTTTAGATTTATGTAATTTTTTAAGAGTTTAAAAATTCTTTTTTGACCAAGGTTATTGGATTCCTAGATAATTCAACGGAAGTAATAATGTTCCAAAATGTGCTAGTTAAACAAAATACAGGGTTGGTGAAGTTGGAGGGGTATAGTGTTGGTGTTAAGACACTCTGGTTTGAAACATCAGTAGTGTTAGAGCTATGAAATATTTTTATTCAAACATTTTTGTTTACTATGCAGGCTTACAGTGGAACAACTCTAACAGAAGAAAAGGAGAAAATAGTCTGGGTCAGATTTGAAAATGCAGATTTAAATGGTATGGTTTTAACTTTTTTGGGACATGTGAATTAAATGTATGTTTGGGGTTGACCTGATTCTGAAAAGAGAACCCTTACTTTAGTCAGATTACTTTTTCTTATAGTAACTTTGTATAATAGTTTTCAAAATTCATTTTTTTATTGTTTTTTTTTTCAAGGTCTAGAGCTGATACAATCAAAATTCATTTTTAATTTAAAGGGTAACATAACCACACTACAGAAATGTCTTTAGAGCTAATATTATATTGTACAACAAGTTTTACAGTAACTATAACAGTGTGTAGCCTTAAACTTAAGTTAAAGTAGGTTAAAATTTTCTAAGAAAGGTTATTAATTCAAGTTTGTCATTTGTATAGGATTTATAACTGCAAAATAATTAGTGTTGAACTTTCTAGGCTTGAAAGTTATTTTTTTGTATACATTATTTATGTTAGTCCAAGGTCTGTTTGTTGTCAGGTATAGTTCATTGTTCTTTTCTTGCTGTCTCTCACATAGTGGCTGCCCCTTGTGTTTTCTTGGCTACCATGTCTGTTGTTTTCTGGCTGAGTTTGGAAGTCACTGATGAGACATTGACTGGGAGAAAGGGAAGCATATTATTCCCTCTCTCTTTCTGTCAGCAGCTGCATTTTCTCCATGGTTCTAGCTTCCCCTGGGCAACCCGATTGGCATTCCAGTTTCTGTCAGATGACCTCCACCCTGTACTCCTCTCTTTGTCTCCCTAGCCTAGGGCTAGTGATGCCTTCCTGCTGTTACTAATGGATGGGTTACCTCACAGTTCCTTACTTGGCATTTTGGCTGGTTCCATCACCTGTGCAATCAGTTGTCTTAATTAAATTCCCTATTTTAAATACATTAAGTTGCTTTTAATTCCTAGTTGATATTGACTAATATACTCTTGAGTCTATATTTGTTCTGAGACTTGTTTCTAATTTTTTTGGTAAAATGGACATAGCATGAAATATACCATCTTAACCATTCATAAGTATAAGGTTCTGTGATAATAAATACATTCATGTTGTGTAGCCATCACCACCATCTGTCTTCATAAGTATTTTCATCTTGTAAAACAAACTATACCCATTACGATAATTCTACATTCCCCCTGTCTCCAGCCTCTGGCAGCCACTATTCTATGTTTTGTCTCTATGATTTTGAATACTCTAAATCAATGTTACCTAAGTGGAATCAGATAGTATTTGCCTTTTTGGTGACTAACATATTTCACTTATCATAATGTCCTCAAGGTTCATTTGTTTTTTAGCAAATGTCAGAATTTCCTTCCATTTTAAGGCTGAATAATATTTCATTGTGTGTACATACCACATTTTGTTTATCTGTTCATTCATCAATGGGCTCTTGGGGTTGCTTTCCTGTGTTAAGAATCGTGAATAATACTACTGTGAACATGGGTGTACAAATAATCTCTTTGAGACTCTGCTCTCAATTTTGTTTTTTTTTTGAAACAGGGTCCCTTGCTCTGTTGCCTGGGCTAGATTGCAGTGGTCTCATCATAGTTCACTGCAATCTCCAACTCCTAGGCTTAAGAGAGCCTCCTGCCTCAGCTTCCTGAATGGTGGGGACTGCAGCCATGTATACCACCAAACCTGGCTCATTTTTCAATGTTTTTTGTTTTGTGAAGACAGGGGTCTCCCTCTTGTTCAGGCTGGTTTTGAACTCCTGGCCTCAAATAGTCTTTCTGCTTCAGCCTCTCAGAGTGCTAGGATTCCTGGTGTGAGCCACTGCATCTGACCTGTTTTCAAATCTTTTGGGGTATATACCCACAAGTAGAATTGCCAGCTCATATGGTAATTCCATTTAAATTTTTTTTTTTTTTTTTTTTTTTAAGGGACTGGGTCTTTGCTCTGCTGCCCAGGTTGGATTGCAGTGGTGCAGTCACAGCTTACTGCAGCTTCCAACTCTTGGGCTCTAGTGATCCTCCTGCCTCAGCCTCCCAAGTAACTGGGATGACAGGAGTAGGCCACTATGCCCAGCTGATTCTTTTGTTTTTTGTAGAGACAGGGTCTCACTGTTATACTTAGGCTGATCTCAGACTCCTGGCCTCAAATGAGCCTCTGGCCTCAAATGAGCCTCTCACCTCAGCCTCCCAAAGTGCTGGGATTATGGACAGGAGCCATTGCACCTGACCTGTATTTTTAATTTTTTAAAGAACAACGGTTTTAAAGAACAACCGTACTATTTTCCACAATGACTGTACCATTTTACATTCCTGCCAACAATATATAATGTACAATGTACAAGTTGTACAATGTACAACTTTTCCATATCTTTTCCAACATTTTTGGGTTTTTTTTTTTGTGTGTGTGTGTGATGGCTATTCTTATGGGAGTGAGTTGTGGTTTTGATTTGCATTTTCCTAATGATTAGTGATGTTGAACATCTTTTCATGTGCTTATTGGCTATTTGTATATCTTCTTTGGAGAAATTATTCAGGTTCTTTGCCCATTTTCAAAATGGTATGGTTTATTTAGTTTTAGGAGTTCTTTGTATATTCTGGATATTAATCCTTTATAGGATATATGATTTGCAAATATTTCCTCTCATTCTTTGACTTGCCTTCTCCTCTAAGACTTTTCAAATGTGATGCCTAATTTTTTTTACTGTTTAGGATGAGAAAGTCTGAATGTCACTTCTATGGATTGGTTTCATATAAATTTTAGATTCTCAATTAGTTTATTCTTTCAAATAGTAATAATTTGTTGGGCCCTCTTTGTGGGACATTCGTTTATATGGGTCATTATGATATCAGTGACAAATAGTTTTTGAAATGATTTTTCATTTTGGAACATTAAAATGACTGAAATTAGAAGTAGTAAAGCTCCACTCCAGTGTCTTTATAGACTTTTTCTGCCTTATTTCTCTTTGAAATCTTATTATATTTTTTATTTTTAATGACTGTCTACTCGTCTCTTTGTCTACTAGTATATTATTTGTCTGTTTCTTTATTCCTTTTTTCCTTCTTTAATAAGAAGTGTCTAATTATTCCTTTCTTTTATTCTCTATCACCTTTTCCTCTTAATTTCAGACTTTTCTTTTCCTAATGGAAATAACATTTTTGTTTTTGTGGATGTTAGGATGTGTTAGAGGACTTTCTTGAATTAATAAAAAAGAAAATGTGGTCTCTGAAAATCCCAATTCCAAAAGCTTGTTGTTCAACATATGGAAAATGTTGAAAATTGATTTTGAAAAGCATGGGTTCAGATCAGCAGTACAAAAAATTGTAAAAATCACAAAATTAACATTTGAAATTTGTTCTCAAAATCATACTTAGGAAAGGTTTTCTTTTTGTTTGTTTTTTTAACAGCAGGTAAGAATTGCTGGTGTAATATTCCATAAAGACTTTGCTTTATTGAAGTAAAAATGCATTTGGAAATATAGATGCATCCTGCTTAAAAATTGTTTAGTACTATATGTAACTTAGTGTAATTAATCTTAACTTAGTATCTGTATCCCAATTGATTTATTCAAATTTTAGGCCGATGTGGTGGCACATGCCTGTAGTCCTAGCTATTTGGGAGGCTGAGGCAGGAGGATTGCTGGAGTCCAGGAGTTCGAAGTTGCTGTGAGCTAGGCTGAAGTCACAGGGCTCTAGCCCGGCCAACAGAGCAAGTCTCTGTTTCAAAAAAATAAAAAAATAAAAATTTAAAGCTGTACGTGTTTCTCTTAAATACTTTAGCACAGTTAGCACATGTCCTTTGATGTCTCCTTTTTATATTGAGGACTGAACTCCGATCTTTTTCTTTTGTTCAACATTTCTTCCTAAGAATGCCAGATAAGTCACACTCACAAGTGGTAAAAATCCCACTAAGCAGGTTTTGTTGACCAAATATAGTGTGGCTTACTTCCCAACCTGATTCCAGTCTAGCATTAGCATCACCTAAAAGATAGAAAGCTGCCATTTTAACTCAAGCATGCTAGCAGATCCTTACCTTAATTTGAAAGATTCTCCTGTCTGGGCCTCGCAGAGTACTCACACCTTTATCTTAAATTAAGCATTTCCTTTCTGGGTTTTTAGATAAAGCATAACTCTCTCAGCCAATTGTCTGCCAAAGAATCTTTAAACACACCTATAAGCCCCCCTACCCCAAGATGTCCCAGCTTTTGGGGCCAAACCAATGTATGCCTCCTGTGTATTGATTTATGACTTTACCTGTAACCTCTGTCTCTCTGAAATGTATAAAACCAAACTGTAACCCAGCCACAGTGAGTCCACTTGCTCAAGGCTTCTTGGGAGTGGCTCCGGGCCATGGTCCGCAAATTTGGCTCAGAATAAACCTTTTTCAAATATTTTGGAGTTTGAATTTTTCCACCCACAATATGATTTTGATATTGCATGAAATCTTGACCCTGGGTTTTTATGCATATGCTTTTTATTTTCTCTGGCCGTGTGTGTATGTGTGTGTGTGTGTACACGCGCGCGCATGCTTATATGTGTGTGTATACTTATATGCGTGTGTATCTGTGCAACAGTACATTTTACTGTCAAAAGAGAAGATTACAGCAATTTAGCTTGAATACCTTAATTGGCTTTATTTGTGATTCTATAACACTTCACTCCATAAAATAGAGTAAGTGTTCAATGAGCTGAGTAGAAGGGGTTGGTTTGATAGACAGAGAGGGACCTTAGAATGGAGAATCAAGGAAGAGAAAGCAGATTGGTCATTACAAAGTCACTTGGCTGTCAGGCAGGGACAGGAAAAGGGAACAATAGAGAGATAACTGATTGGTTAACATCAGATTACTTCAGGTTACCTTTTGTTAAGGATTAAAACAAAGGAAACTTCATTATCATGCTAATTGAAGATTGAAACTGGCCTGTTTGGGAATTCTTTCTCTCTCTCTCTCTCTCTCTCTCTGTCTCTCTCTCTTTCTCTCTTTTTCTTAAGGTCAGGTAACAACTTACTTTCAGTTTGATGACAAAGAACTTTAGCACACTGTGACTCCATTTTGACTTTAGTTTAGTCTTTTGGAGTCCAGTACA